GCTTGATGCAGGTATTGTATTCCCAATCTCTGATAGCAAATGGGTAAGCCCCGTTCAATGTGTTCCTAAGAATGGGGGATGACTGTAGTGGTTAATGAAAATAATAATTAATTCCTACAAGAATTGTCACTGGGTGGAGAATTTGCATAGATTATAGAAAATTGAACAATGTCACCCGAAAGGACCACTTTCCCCTCCCTTTCATTGACCAAATGCTTGATAGGTTAGCTGGCCAAGAATACTACTGCTTCCTAGATGGTTATTCGAGGTATAATCAGATTGCTATAGCCCCAGAGGACCAAGAGAAAACCACATTTACGTGTCCCTACGGTACGCATGCGTTCAAGAGAATGCATTTTGGTCTCTGTAATGCACCTGTGACTTTTCAAAGGTGTATGATGGCTATTTTTAGTGACATGGTTGAAAGATTTGTGGAAGTGTTCATGGATGATTTTTCTGTGTTTGGGTGTTCTTTTGATAATTGTTTAATGAACCTTGATAAAGTGCTTGCTAGGTGTGAAGAGACAAACTTGGAACTAAACTGGAAAAAGTGTCATTTCATGGTACGTAAAGATATAGTCTTGGGGCACAAGGTGTCAAAAAATGGTCTGTAGGTGGATAAAGAAAAGGTGGAGGCGATTGAAAAATTTCCTTCACCGACATCCGTCAAAGGCATTCGCAGTTTCTTGGGCCATGCAGGTTTTTATCGTCGATTCATTAAAGATTTTTTGAAAATTTCTTCTCCGCTGTGCAGGCTTCTAGAGAAAGATGTCACCTTCAAGTTTGATGATGCATGTCTGAAAGCATTTGAGGATCTGAAGGGAAGGTTGGTGACTGCACCAATTATCATCGCCCCAGATTGGGGACAACCATATGAGTTGATGTGCGATGCAAGTGACATAGCAATCGGAGCTGATTTAGGGCAAAGAAGGGGCAAAAACTTTCACTCCATTTATTATGCGAGCAAAACTATGAATCCAGCTCAAATGAATTACACAGTTACTGAAAAAGATTTGCTTGCAGTGGTGTGGGTGTTTGACAAGTTCAGATCTTATCTAGTGGGAACCAAAGTTATCGTCTACACAGATCATTCAGCTATCAGATACTTGTTTGAAAAGAAAGACGTCAAGCCGAGGCTGATTCGTTGGGTCCTCCTATTACAAGAATTTGACTTAGATCCGAGATCGAAAAGGAACAGAGAATCAAGTGGCTGATCACTTGTCCAGATTAGAAAATCAGAACCATGTAGCTGAAAGGGGGGTTGATCAAAGAAACATTTCCTGATGAGCAGTTATTAGCAGTCACCTCAAGTGAAGCCCCGTGGTATGCAGATTATGTGAATTTTATTGCAAGTGGGGTGACGCCACCAGAATTGACACTTGACAATAGAAGAAGATTCCTACATGATGTGAGGCTCTACATGTGGGATGAGTCATTCCTGTATAGGCAGTGCGCAGATCAGTTGGTGCGAAGGTGTGTTCCTGAGGAAGAGATAAATGCAATATTGCATGGTTGTCATGCTTAGCCATATGGAGGTCATCACGGTGGGGATAGAACCACCCAAAAAGTGCTACAATCAGGTTTCTATTGGCCAAAATTATTTAAGGATGCACATGCCTTTGTTAAAAAGTGTGACAGATGCCAAAGAACCGGAACTATCACGAGGAAGCACGAAATGCCTTTGCAAAATATTCTGGCAGTAGAGCTTTTTGATGTTTGGGGGATTGATTTCATGGGACCGTTCCCATATTCTAATGGTCACAGGTACATCTTGGTGACGGCCGACTATGCTTCTAAGTGGGTGGAGGACATTGCTCTTCCTACTAATGACGCAAAGGTAGTGGTAAGCTTTGTAAAGAAGCACATCTTCACGCGCTTTTGGACTCCAAGAGTGTTAATAAGCGACGGAGGAACTCATTTTTGTAACAAATTGCTGAATAATGTTCTTGCAAAGTATGGAGTTAAGCACAAAGTTTCCACTGCCTATCATCCCCAAACGAGTGGTTAAGTAGAAGTTTCAAACAGAGAGGTAAAGCAGATTCTGGAGAAAATAGTAATTGGAAATAGAAAAGACTGGGCCTGGAAGCTGGATGTTGCATTATGGGCATATCCAACTGTATACAAGACTCCCATAGGTACTTCTCCGTACATGTTGGTTTATGGGAAGGCATGTCACTTGCCCGTTGCGCTTGAACATAAAGCTTATTATGCGATCAAAAATCTAAATATGGATATGGACTCAGCTGGTGAGAAGAGGTTGCTGCAACTCAACGAGCTTGATGAGTTTCGATTGCACGCATATGAAAATGCCAAATTATATAAAGAAAAGACGAAGAGGTGGCATGACAAGAACATTCAACATTGAGAGTTTGAGCTGGGTCAAGAAGTTCTCTTATTCAATTTGAGGTTGAAGTTATTCCCTGGAAAGCTTAAGTCTCGTTGGGCAGGTCCTTTTGTTGTGGTAAGTGTGAAGCCTCACGGAGCGGTGGAACTGCGTGATACGAGCTTAAGTGGTACCTTCTTGGTAAATGGTCAGAGAATAAAACATTATTAAGGTGGTGACATCGCACGTCACAAGACCTCAGTGGACTTGGCAGATGCTTAAACACGTGTTGAATCGTGCCGCGACGTTAAATCAGGCGCTCGTTGGGAGGCAACCCAATTTTTACCGCTTTCGAAGCATAGTTTTTTTTGTTTTCTTTTAGTTAGAATAGGCTAATTTTTTCTTTGTAGTTGCAAAAAAAAAAATCTTAGGTGGAAATGGTGTGGAATATGTGTAATGTATATATTGAGTGCTCGGGTAGTCGGGATTGTTTATCAAAAAATAAAAAATAAAAATAAAAATAAAAATCGAAAATCAGCGAATTGAGCGCCCAGGCCAGCGCCCCACGCTGCCTGGGGCGCACTTTCCAGTATGTCTGAAGCTTCAACGCCAGCCCCAGCATGGGGCGCTGGGCTGGCGGGTCAGGTATGTATTTTTTTTATTTTTTCTTTATTTTCGTTTTCTTTGTTTAATTAAAAATACCCAACCCAATTACCCATATATACACACAACCCAACCCATACCCAATTACCCAAACCCATCCCTCACCTAAATTAAAATAGCTAAAACCCAAAACCCCTCCTTTCTCCAAAAACGCTGAACACTGCCCGCTCCTCTTCTCCCCTTTTCTCTCAAGTTCTCATATTCTTCCATCTTCCTTGCTCAATTCCATCTCAAGACTCTAAGGTATGTTCTTCTTGTTATCTTTTTTCTTGTATTTTGGAAGTTCTTAGAGTATTTGTAGTCTTCTTTCTCCCCCAATCCTCAAATCCCCTAGGTCTCTTAAACATACTTTGATGTTATTGTGAGTGGAATGATTATACACGAAATTGGTGCAAAATTGGTTGTACAGTTGTGTTTGAAGTAGTAAACTATAATTCCCTCTACTTCATGTAAATTTGGGAGGCCCACCTTCTCCCACCATTGTTGAAATAGAAGAGAAAAATTGATGCCCACAAGGTATTTGCTAAAATGCTTAAGAGAGTAAATTTGAACACCGGTGAAGTCTAAGTAGCCGAGTGTAATTGTATATGAGTTTGGGCGAAGTGTGGGGTGTTTTGGGGGTATTGTATCTTGTTGTAAACTTTTGTAAGTTGTAGTTAGTGTACTAAAATAGTGTAGTAATGTAGACTTTAGCATTGTTATGCTTGCACCATAGTTAAGTTATGGCCATGTTAGACTAATTGAATTTTATGGCATAGGGAAGTCTAAGTACCTATAGCCTTGTGATGACACATTGGTGCACGTTAAATCAATAATATGATTCGATTATACATAGACTTTGATTTTAAGTATAGGGTCATCTTGCCTCTCACGATGACCTTAGGCAACATCTCTTGATTCATTCTCATCTTTGTGTTTATCATGTGTAGGTTACTATGGATCGTGATGATACCGCTAAAGGAAAAGGGGCGGGGAAGTCCTCCACTACTGCTCCCCCTCCAAAGAAACGCAAGCAAGGCGAGAGCTCTTCCCGACAAGCCAAGGGAAAGCAAGTGGCTAGCGGGTCTACGAGGCCACCACGGCCTCGGGTGGAACTTGTTTAGGATAACGCCATCAAATGGCATGATACTTTTGTTCCATATGGGAGATATGTGTCTGAAATGGGGATAAATGTGAAGGCTTTAGAACGGAACTTCCCAGATGTACTTGCTACATTGATCGAAAAGAAGATGGATAAGCTCTTCGAATGTCCGGGCCCGACAAATCTCAGCATGGTAAGAGAGTTATATGCCAACTGGAATGAGAAAAATGACGAGTCGTGGGTCAGAGGAAAGGAAATTCCAATGGATAGGGAAGCCTTGTGTCATTTTTTGGGAGTTGATAGCCCTAACCCACGAAGGCTTCGAAAGTTCGTCAAAAGTCCACGCTACTAAGCAATACGTCACACGCTTTGTGGCGTTGATTCTAATGCAAAGTGGACGCGAACTAGGGGAAATATTCACCTTGAAATGCTCCGGTTCGACTTCAACAAAACGGCCAAGGTCTGGCAAAACTTTGTGCAAGCTAGATTAATGTTCGTTGAGCATAATAGTAAGTGCACTCGAGTTCGAGTGTGCGTGATCTCCTTTTTGATGACCGGGTGCCCCATAAATGTGGGTGAGCTCATGCTTGGGGAGATGACCCGCACCCGTTTTGGAGGAAGGATCAAAAGCTTTTTTTTTGGCAACATCCTAACACAATACATGCTCTCTCGTGGGGTACCAGAGTACCCTGGCTATGATGAGGTAGTGGAGGCACCCACAACATTGTTAAACATCACATCCATGCTAGAGTCCACATCCAAGCTCACCCAAGCTGCTAGGAATGAGAGGGACAAAAATTTCAACAGGTATCTTTACAAATCCCTCAATGTTATTATGAGCAGGCTAGGGGTGTCAGATGAGAAGCGCACGCGATTGCGAAGTGATCTCTCCAGTTCTTCCAAGGAGATGTTGGGCATAGAACCAAGCAGTCATGTTCATCCGTCTGAGGATGAAAACACTTACAAGGAATCTGATAATGAGGATGCGGATGATGATGAAGTTATTGGACCAATGGCTTTGGTACCCTTAGGAGATGATGATGAGCCCATTGCCGCAGCTGGTTGGCATCCTGATGAGGCAGACTCCGACTAGCAGGGAGTTCTTTCTTTCTACCTTACTTTATTTTTGAATTTATTATGCATTGCACTATGCATTGTTTAAGTGTGGGGTGGGGGAATACTCATTGAATTGTATAAAACTTTTTTTTTAGTGTTATTGTTTTTTTTTTTCTTTTATCACCTTTTAGCTTAGTTTAAGACTAGCATAGTCTAATTAGCTAGATTACATTTTAAAAAATATATAAATTAACAAAAACTTAGACTTTTCCCGACAATGGATCTGTTGGACAATTTTCTTGAGGGATTAAAGTCCGATTAAAAATACCAAAAAGATTTTCTTTTGCTTTATTTTTGATAGTTAGTTAGTATCCCTTGGTTTTTCTTTGGACGCCGGTTCTTTTCCAAGGGCGTAGCTCGAACAGGGTGTTTTGTTTTATTTTTTTTAGTAGGATAAAGGAGAAAACTGAGGTGCTCGGAGATACCTTTTGACATGTTTGGTGTTGGCAAGTTAAGTTAGGGCATGTGCTATGTCTTCCTGCATATATGATTTGAATTGTAATACCCAAGTAGATTAAGTAGCCTACTCTTTGACGGCTTTTTCTCAGTTGATTGACTTGTATGCCACTTAGTGCATTGTTGCTTACAAATTCTCAACTTGATATGCTTGCTTGACCTGAGATTCACACAGAACCGTTTTGAGTGAGTCAAGTGCCATGTGTGTGTAAGGATTGTTGATATTTTGTGCTATCCTGTGTAGTCTAGAACTTTTCCCGTGTGTTAATCAACGCGAAATCATTAAGTTGTGCTAGTCTAGGAGATGACGTAGGTGTTTCTTGCTTGACCATAAAGGTGCTTGTCACTGTAAAAATAAAATTTTCCCATTGCTATCCCCTTTGAGCCTATAGACCATTTCCTTGTCACCCCCATTACAAGTCGTACTCCTACTTTGTTCTTAATGTGAGATTGTTGAACCTTTACCTCCTAAGGCACTTAGTCGCTAGAAGAAGTAAGGTGAGAGATTGGGAAGTGGCTTTCGAGTGGAACCATGGAAAGGCCCTTAAGGTGCACTAAAATTGTGAATAAAGGTCACTAGCTTATGAACTTCAATGTATGGAGTGTGTAAGGGGGAAAAAAAAGAGGAAATTTTTTGCAAGAAAGAGCAAACAAAAGTTCAAATAATGTAGAAAGACACACCTCCTAATCCTTCTCACTCGTGCTAGTAAAATCATAGAGGTGCTTGATGGAAAATAGGGCTATGTTAGTTATGGTGTATGACAAGTAAATGGGTTGCGAAGCAATTCCGCTTGAATTGTGAGTGTAGTGTATTAAAGTGCTTAGGAGGATTAGTCATTATGCCTAAATGTATCCTACCCATCCCTTAGCCTACATTACAACCTTAAAGTCCTAATTGATCCTAGATTTAACTAGCTTAGATTAGTAGAGATGTACACTACGGGCAAGTTTATGGTACGACCACGGGATGCACATGAATTCTTTGTGAGAGTGAGTGAATATTGTTCAATTGTGTGATGTCCTTAATTTATGTTCAATGATATATTTGAATTTTTGGACTACTTTGATATTCATGTTTTTTGCTTGTGGAGAGGGCGCTTGATCTCATGACGGATTGGTGATGTTGTACACTTTTTTGTGTTGAGTAAGTGCGTGAGTTGAGGATGCGCAGTGGTAACGAGTCTTCTATTGAGGTAAGGTGGTTGTAGAGAGGTTGCTTGAGTTGATTGAGTTGGTTGAATAACATTGAGTATACTTGGGCTATTTAAAATCGGGAAGAATGTGAAATTTGTGTGTTCATGCTTAATTGCCGGCATCGATCATAGTCCAAAGGTAGGGTGTTTGACTGAATTAATTGTGAAGTCCTCTTTCATAGTGCTAAGTACGTTTTGGGGGTGTTAATATAGTTCCATTGCTCGAGGACGAGTAAGAGTCTAAGTGTGGGGTGTTGATAATCGGCTTAATGTATGCATATTTTGATATATATCGCCTCACATTTTGCTCATGTCTCGATGATTTGAGATATTTAATATGATTATTTGTGCTAAATTTTGGTATTTCTATGTGTAGGGATCATTCGGATGCAATTTGAGACGAAAGGGAGCGAATTGGAGCGAAATTGGGACAAAAACGCAAAAAGTGAAATTTGAGGGCCACAACTAGCATGGGGCGCTGGCTGTGGCGTAATTTACAACAGCTAAAATTTGTGAGCACCAGGGCTAGCGCCCCACGCTGCCCTGGACGCTCAAGACGGAAAAGTAGTCATTTTCGACTAGAACTCGGTTATTTCGACCCCTAGACGCCTCCAACTCATATAAAAGCCAACCTAAACCTATATTTTAGAGGGAGGACGTGACTTAGAGAGAAGAGGGAGGCGCCAAACACTCGGAAGCAAGGATTTGATCAATTCTTCCATCCCTTTCCTAGTACTCATTGATTTTATGTTTGAAAATATTATTTTTGATGATTGTATGAACATGAGTGGCTAAGGACCCTATTGTTCTAGGGTCATGGGTATACATGAATGTTGACGTTTGAAGTTTAATTTGACGAAGTTGATTTTATCATATTGGGTTGTTTATTTAATTCTATTTTTAATTATTTTGCTGAGTAGATAACAGTGAAATACTATCTACGAATCTAGAGTTGAACTCGAAAGTGGGAATTCTAGATTGCATATAGAATTAAATAGAGCAAGTTCTTAAACCCGGACATCGGGGAACGAATTCGCAATTAAGATAGACATATACCTAATTGCCTTGCTCAGTTGCAATACAGGAATTGTAAATGCGTTCTTGTTAATCTTAATTCCATAGACATATAGGTATTAAGTTAGCTTAAATAGGCGAGTAAGGACTCGACAGATTCTTATGAGTAATATCAACCCTGTCAATCAACAATCCAGATAAGTCAATTAGTTATTTTAAGCTAAGAATGCAATATGATTGTTAGATAACCTGAATGTAGTGGTTGATTTCTAGTATTTCATTACTTGATAGTTTTTAGGTAGTAAATTAGAAAATTATCTATTTTATAAGAAATCGCTTGAATCGATAAGTTATTTGAGTTTGAATTAGTCAAAAGTTAATCATAAGTCTTCGTGGGAACGATACTCTACTCACTACTCTATTACTTGACGACCGCGTATACTTGCGTGAGTGTATTTGGTCGCAACAACCGGTCCGTGTTGCAGCAAAATAGTGGCTATTTTTCAATGACTTTGCAAACGGTGGTTATTTTTGAATTACCAGTCCGAAAATGGAGTAACCCGTGCTATTTTTACTGGTCCTTCTTCACATTTGCCTTATCACTGCGAGGAGCTCTCTCCAATTAATTAAATGAGCCTTAGATAAAGACAACATAAGTTCAAAAAAAAAAAAATTATACGACGGGAAAATAAACTAAAATGGGACAAAAATAAAAAGTCACACATAAACTACGGCAAGATGCAATCTGAATTCACGATCATGCGAAACTCCTTTATATTTCTTATTACTATTCTTACATATGTGATGGCTCTTTTATATATAATTTTATGACATTTATAAATTTAATTTTAACATACAATTATTTTCAAAATTTGAAAAATAAACTGTAAACGAAATAATGCAAAAAATAAATGATGACCTGGAATGATCCAATAATTTTAGTTGAACTTGCTATTAATCAGGAAAAACTCAAAATCCTTATAAACTTCAAAACAAAATGCCTGCCAACTCTAAACACTGCTTATTACTTTGGAAGCAACAATCAAATATATTAGAGAATAAATTGAGATTCTGACTTTGAATCTTAAGCCTCATTCCTCTAATTAATTCAACATCGAAATGTCTCGTAGGGTAACGTCGGTTCCTAGCCCCTAGGGGATTTTGATTTTTGCTGAAATGGCGCGTAGTTTAGGTTTTAATACGGTGTTTTTGGTTAATAATAATAAAAAGATATTTTAATAAATAATAAAGGGGTAATTTGGTAATTTGACTTTTAGATTCTGATATATATATAAATCTTTTTAAGAAGTTGGCCCCTACTATGCCAAATATTATGGTCCAACCACAAGGAATGCATAAGTTCATTTGAACATTGATTTGAGAGAGAATGAAAAAGACAGCCAACTATTCTTACATGAAACACTGAATTAAAGGATTTGAAAGAGAATGAAAAGTATAGCCAGTATTTCCACATGAAAGCTTGAATTTCATTTAACCTGCTTTATATGATTATAACTGCTCTTGTTAAAATACAAACATAAAGCTAAAATAAGTTAAAATGAACACTCCAGACAAATTTTAAAAAGCCATATAAAACATTATGTATAGTTATAGCAATGTAAGGTTAGTCAACTGTACAAATACAACACAAGTACATGTCCTCATATGCATCATTTCCGTTCTGCAGCAGCCAACTTATCAGCCAAACCTGAAACAAGAAGTGATACCGTTGGTGTTTGCACTAGAAACCAAGTAATACACGATAGTGTCTGAGCACCAATTATTCTACTTAATGAGAATACCAAAAGATTGCAAGTCAATTCGAGTTTCCAAATGAGGTCTGTAATACCCTCATGTTAAGGGTAGCGAAAGGAGCCAATGATGAATTATTAACATGTGACTATGTATTCCAACCAATAAAGGCCTGGCAAGCACAAGCTTATNAACTTAAAAAACCCAGAGAAGCTCACTAGCTGAACCAGGACCCAGCCAACGACACACTACAACAAGTATTGTGGCGTACCAAATATGGATAGCTTTAGGAAACTAGGTCTGATTTAGGGGAAAATTTCGCTGTCTTTACCTTAATTTAGAGGATGCTCTTTGAACGAAATGAACTTTCACCCATAACTCAACGCCAGTACTGGGCCCAACGGTGAATTGTCTCAACCATTTGTGGAAATAATGCACTGACACTTTCATTAATAAGATCCTGAAAGAAGTGAATGCACTCCTCATCGTCCAAGTCTAACCGAAACTTCTCTTGAAGCTAATAAACATAAAGAGTTAAAGTCAGAAGATGGAAATAAGAGGAGCGATCAACGCGAACATGAGAGTTGTAACATAGATAAATAAATAGATAAAGCTACCTTAAGAATGCCCTTCTCAGGATCAGAAGCTATGTCAGGAATATTGGAACCGGCCATCAAATGAAACAAATTTAATATGAGGTTGCTTGATTTTCGTAGAATGTTGTATGCTTCACAACAATAGGATTTGAACCTGGTGT